TGATGAAGTAAAAGGAAATAAGGAAATGATGAAGAGAAAGAAAAAAGAACGAAAACAATGAGGTGAAAGAATCAAAAAATAAAATGAATTAAAGAAAAAAAAGAAGAAGAAAAGAAAGACAAAGAAGGAAAGGAAAAAATTAAGGAAAAAAAAAGAAAGAAAAAAGAAACCTTAAAAAACGAAATACTTGAGAAAAAAGAACGAAATTAAGAATGGAAAATAAAAGAAAGCCAAATTTTAATCAGACATGCAAGGAAAAGTAAGAAAAAAGAAACAGGTAAAAAAAAGAAACAGGTAAAAAAAAAACAACAAATGTTAAAAACATCTAATCGTATAAAACCAATTTAATGTGTATTTTTGGAAATAGTGCATTTTGAATTTGATTGCTTCAACTGGAACAAATCCACCCTTTACCCACCTTTTACTGGGAAAAACAAAATATTTTCTTAAAGGAAAACTTGGCAAAAAAAAAATTCATGCTTAAGTGTAAGGCAGTGAACTTAAATCAGGAGGCATCTGATCTGCTTTCTGCAGTATGCTCTCTCAAATTACAACTTTTCACCCAGTAGTTGTGATGTTCATCAGAGAGAATTATCTTCTTTTTTTCCATTATTGTTGGGAATGTTCAAAATTTGCAGGCTTCTATCAATTGATTCTCAATAGAAAATCTGTGTAGCAAATACATGACATTTCTTTACTTTGAATGTATTGTTATGATGACAGGTTGATAAGTAAGGTCTCCAATCCTATAAGCAAGTCTTAGACTGGAAAGAAAAGTGCAACTGATAGCAAAATTATGTAAATGTAATTCAAGATTGCCAGAGATAACTCATAGATAAGCTCTTCAATCCTATAAATCAAGTTTTAGACCATATAGAATAATTAAATTAGTATCAAAATGAAACAAATTCATTTCTCTTTAAAATTACAATGGTTGATTGATAATTCAGGTGACACCTGTTGCTTGACTTATCAATCAACCATTAAAAAGGTGTTGCAACTTTGGGAAGGTTGCTGAAGAGAATAATCACACAAAGGTTGGTAATGAATGATAATACTTAGGACAAGAACAACACATATAAGATTTGCCAGCAGCACATAGAAGAAATAGTCAACTGCTAAAAGTGAGTCAAGTGAATTCCACAATGAATCTCCAACTCCAGATCAACATACAGTATTTACTACTGTGAATGGGGATATACCCATTATCGTCCATAAGTATGCTACCACAGAAGGGTAGTAATACAAGGATGTGTTGTCTCACTGGACTTATTCAAACTAAACAGTGAGGTAATTCTGAGAGAATTAGAAGCCCTAACAGGATTCATTTTTGGCGGCCACAACATTAACAATATAAGATAGGCAGATGATACAGTGTTGATAACAGATGCAGAAAAGAAACTACAAGAACACCTACAGAACGTAGTGAAGGAAAGCAAGAAGAAAGGACTAAACATCAATTGTGAGAAGACAGAATGCATGATTATTAGCAAAAGGAACAGCCCAACATGAAAATTACAAATTAAAGATACCAAAATCAAACAAATACAAAAATTTAAATATCTGGGAAGTGTTTTAACAGAGGACAAAAAGTGCAACATAGAAATCCAAAGACAGACTGGGATGGCCAAAGTGTGTTCCAAAATCTAAGCAAAGTATTGATAAACAGAAAAATTTCATTAGAAACAAAGAAAACTGTACTTAACTGTTACGCAATATCAGCCCTCCTATATCACAGTGAATGCTGGGCAATCTCCTCACAGATGAAGAGGAGACTTGTAGCAACATAAATATGGTTCTGCAGGAGGATGCTGAGAATACTATGGATCAAACACATGAGCAATAACAAAATTTTGGAGAAAATGGAAACGAAAAGGAAACTTATACTTAACATCAGGAAGAGCCAGTTGAATTTTCTAGGGCACATAATGAAGAAGGAGGGCTTGGAAAATCTAATACTTACAGGGCAGATTAAAGGCAGGAGAGACAGAGGAAAACAAAGTATAGCTCAGTGAGCTTGTATAAATAGATAATGGAATGAGGTTTAAGAGAAATAACAAAAAGAAAAATTTAATAAGAGCTACAAAGAACAGGAAATTGTGGAGAGCCATGATCACCAACGTCCTGACTGGATATGGCACATTGATAAGTAAGGTTTCTAATCCTATAAAACATGTTTTAGGCCAGATAAAATAATGAAACTGTTGCAGTCTGAGGAGTTAGGTAACCAGATATGAGAGGGATGTGGTCACAGAAATCCTGTTGCCAAAGTGTCTTCCAGCAGCCACTCTCTTGACCCAGGACAGCACTACCTCCTCAAGGCACTTGATGTAAGCCTCGAAATTGGGGAGTTTTTTTCTTATCAGAACAATCAGAATGAGTTTTCCAAGCTGCTATACCTTAGTAATCACCATTAATCACCAACTTTTCCCCAATCCTGCGCTCTCCTCAGATTGACACCCAAACACTCTGAAATGTTAATATTGGGGCTTCTGGCATGAATCACAAGCAGTAGAGCATGCCAGTTCCAATATTCTGGCATATTGAATTGTGTCATGGTGCTCTTTTTCTCACAGACAGTGCCCAACTGACCCTATTATACTGTACATTTGACAAAATCAAAAACAAACAATGTGCATGCACAAAATTAAAAACAGAAAATGGTGAAAATTTACCCATCAAACCCTGTAGATAGTTCTGCTGAATAAGGTTGTAAAACAGAATTATGTAATGATATGTAAATGAGGTACTGTATAAAAGGCAGTATTGCTATACCTACAGGAGAATTATCATCTCTTGATGAGACTACATCTGTCAGAGAGATTATCTATCATAACAATATGACATTGCCAATCGGTTACTTAACCATGATGGAGGATCTGGTATATGTAGAAACCTGGCTTAGATGTTTCACAGTATCAGTGAGAGTAAAAAGCTTAAAGGACACCAAAGCGCCATGGAGGAGAAAATGAAGTTGCAGATTTTTTTTTGGCCTCAGCAGGTTGTGAGACATAAAAAAAATCTCCATCATAGTCTATCCCAAAGTGTTGGAAGATTTAGTGCATGAAAAAATTGCTGCCATTATAAAAACAAATATACAGCCAAAAAAAAAAAAGATTGGTCATAGCAGAAAGAGCTAAATTTCTTGAAAGCAGACAGAGACTGGATGAAAATATTATGCAATTGAAAGAAGCATTGAGATATTGAAAGAATGGGTTCAGAAAGTTTGAAAGAATGGATTCAGAACCTCCAAAAAACAAAACTGCTTTCTATTACTCACCACAGAGAACCATCCCTGCCTCCCATTAGAATGTCTGATGCTCAACTCCACGAGAGCATCTCTTTGCGACTGCTCAGTCTCACATTGTCCGCTGACTTGAGATGGAACGAATACATTGAGTCAATAGCTTCATCCACCACAAGGAAAGTTGGCTCCCTGTGCCATGCCAGGAAATTTTTCTTGCCGGACTCAATCCTTCAAATCTACAAATCAACCATTCACCTTTGCATGGAGTATTGCTGCCATATATGGTGTGGAGCCCCTTCTGTTTGTCTGAAGGTCCTTGATAAAATCCAAAGACAGATATGCAATGTAATTGACCCTGATCTGGCATCTCATTTGCAGCCACTCTCTCACAAATGTGCCATTGACTCCCTTTGTCTTTTTTACATATACTTTCATCGTAACTGCTCTGATGAGCTGCTTTTGCTGGTTCCCAGACTTCATGAATTTAAGCGTTCTACTAGGCTGGCATCTTGCTCACACCTTTTCAAAACTGTTAAATGTAGCCATCTCTTCTACTCCAATAGCTTCATGTCTTGCACTTCTTGCATGTGGAACTCCCTCCCCGTTTCTTGTTTTCCTGATAGCTATAATCTCCAACGATTCAAATGTAATGTCAATCAACGTCTCCAGATGCCCTGATCTATCCCCTAACCTTCTCTTCATCCTTTTCTCTATCACTCTTCTTTGCTCTGGCTCCAACTCTGTGTAACTCCTTGCATGCTAGTGGCTTGCTGCCTTGCTTGGGGTTGAATGCTTAAAAAAAAAAGAACAAATATCTATCAAAGACAAGCTAATTTTACTAAGACTGATTGAAGGAATATTTGACATCTCATACAAGCATAAAATTCTAGAGTGGCTTCAAGCTCATGATATGAATCCGGAAACATGTGAGAAGTTGTTAGAACAACTGGAATTGATTCAAAAATCTAATGACTCTGAAGTCAACATGGAGACTTACAATGCTACTGAAAGCTTACCTGTATGCAGATATTGAAGTAAGGAACATGAAAAGAGCAAAAATAAGTTCCCAACTTTTGGGAAATGGTGTTTTCAGTGTAAAAAGAGGAATCATTTCCAAACAGTAAATAGGAATCATTTCCAGACAGTAAAGAGGAATTATTTCCAGAAAAGCAGGTGGAAAAAGTGGAAAGTATAGATTCTCCGATTGAAAGTACGGAAGTATTTGAGATAAAAACACAGGATAAAGGTAGGGAAATGGTGAAGCTGAACAAAGTAACTTTACTCATGCAGGTGGATACTGGAAGTGATGTTACATTGTTACCGAGAAATGTTTGGGAAAGAATAGGTAGACCAAAGTTAAAGAAAAGTAATCTCCAGTTGAAACAGTTTGATGAATCAATCTTCAAAATTTTAGGATGCTCTGAAGGTACATTTGTGACAAAAAATAAATTTGAGAAAATACCCATCATAGTGCTGGAAAACATCAAAAGTCATGGTCTTTTAGGGATTGACATATTAATAGTGAATATATCAAAGCTGATAAATTCCATGAATTCTGTAGAACCAGATGCTGGATTATTAAAGGGATATGAGGCAAGTATTCAGCTTGAAGAAAGCAGTCAACCCAAGTATTTTCAAAGCTCTGATTACTATGTCATTTTCAACAAATGAACATGTGTGGTACAGAAAGGACAAGGATTCAAGACCTGAAAAGGTGAATTTTGTGCTGAAAAACGGATTTAACACAACGGTGTTAACAAAGAAGGATCAGGGCATACTGATTGAAGAAGACCAATTTAGAACCACAAAAGAGCATGAAGTTATGGAAAAGGAGGAAGAAGATGAAGAGGAGGAACAGATGATGCCAGAAAGGATGAATGAATTCAGCATTGAGAGTGATCAAGAAGACTACCAGAGAGATGAAAGTGATGAACAGGAGAGGGAGGAAAGAATGAGTATATCCAGTAGTAGTGAAGAACAATCTAGGGATGAGAGTGACCTGAGATATTATGATGATTTAAATGAGGAGAATCAATTAAGACCTAGAACGTCTATAAAAAAAATAAAGAGACTCACTCTGATAGATGGATGATGTCTCCCAGGGTTGTTCGTAGAAGTCAAAGATCAACTAAAAGTATAAAGCGTCTTAGGTTCAGGGAAGTGTAGTAATATGTAAATGAGGTATTGAATAAAAGGTAGTATAGCTATACCTATGGGAGAGTTATCTTCTCTTGACAAGACTATATCTGTCAGTCAGAATACCTATCATAACAAATTAATTTCTCAAAAATTATAGACACCTGTAGAATGGATCAGCCAAAACATTGTGGCTATTCTATATATAAAAGCTTTATTCTCTCAATAATGCTTGGATTAATGCCTGGCCACTGACAATCAATTTGGTCTCATTTGCAATGCATTTCTATAATAAATGTTTATATATTGCATATTATTCTATTAGTAATGCTAGGATAAATTTGTGACTACTGACAATCCCTTTTGATTCATTTGCAATTCATTTCTATGGTAAATGTTTATGTATTATATATTCTTATTCCCTCAGTAATACTCAGATTAATTCCTGACCACAGACAATACCTTTGGTCTCATTTGCAATGCATTTCTATAGTAAATGTTTATATATTATACATATAATAGTCCTATTCTCTCAGTAATGATTGGATTAATTTTTGACCCCTGACAATCCCTTTGGCCTCATTTGAAATGCATTTCTATAGTAAATGTTTATATATTATACATATAATAGCCATATTCTATCAATAATGCGTGCATCATATTTCACTTCTTTTCATTTCTATA